AGCCTAAGTTGACGAAGCTGCCTTCCAAGGCTCGCGATCCTGCAACTGCGCCATTTCATTGTCGCCTGCCCCTTTCGCTACAGGGCAAGGCCCGAGCCAAGTGCGCTTACCGCATAAACCGGTAAGAGCACTACTTTAAGTCGTAAAAAGATTTGCTTTAATAATCAAATTATCCTTTGGCCTGGCTCTCAATTTTCAAGTGGTGATCACACTCCAAATTTTTACAACGGGGGTAGTACAGCCCCGACTAAAAGATGACCTTAGGGACATCCATCAAAATTGGAACATACACACATGGAAGATTAGCATGGCCCCAGCACAACAAAAGGAAAAACGGTCGCCATTGGACAGGGTCTAAAAAATATTGCCTGGGTGGATAACGAAGTGAGACAATGAAGACACAGATAATTCACAGACTTACCACGCCATGGGCAAGTGTAAGTGATCACACTCATTCCATCCCCCCAGCGACAGAAGTAGGGACTAATCTTGTATTGGAGAAGCCATTGAAAATGCATGTCAAGTGCTTTGAACCAGTCGTCACTGCCATGCTCAAGGCCAAACCTATCCTCAATCACGGTTTCTGATACCTGGTCGGGATGCTCCGTCAAGGTCTTTAATCATTTGGATTTGCACCATGCGCACGCTTGGTTCATACAATCTAACATGGATTGTTTGTAAGCACCCGCATCACTCAGGCATTGAACGAGCACTACCTTTCGCAACCACGCTGATTACCACGAGGACAATCCTTTCCCTGTTGGTCTCTTGACGTTATGGAAGATAGTCGGCACATAACTCACGAGTTCAAACCACCGCTACATTCGACAACCCTGCTGATTACCAGCAGGACCACCCTTTTCCTCTTTGTCTCTTGGCACACACAGACCTTGACCAAAAATAAAACAGAGCAAAAGAAAAATAAAAACAGAAAAAACTTTAAAAAAATGATCTCCAATGCACTTTTCAGGGTTGAGGGGTTTAACCAGGGCAGAAAAGTCGGGGTCCCTGTTAACCGCTTATGGACGATAGACGGCCACATGGTTTTCCTGGTTGTTTGCCGTGCTTGGCCCAACTTTTTCGGGTGACCACAAACCACCCAAAAGTCATGTACCATGTCTATGTCTCCCTCCTTTCCCCTCCTACTTCCCACAATGTCTCCTCTTTCCCACTAAGCATTTCGGTTCAGGATGCTCTCTCTCTCTCTCTCTCTCTCTCTCTCTCTCTCTCTCTCTCTCTCTCTCTCTCTCTCTCTCTCTCTCTCTCTCT